TAGAGGCCTCATGCACACATGCGACACTGGCTTCAAGGTGTAATCTGGGTCATAATTGAATCTGAGGCCAGATTTATGAACCAACATGAAAGTATCTTGATCTTACTATTTAATTAACTTCATCATTCAAGGAATATTGCAGAAATCTCAGCATTAATCCCAATAAAATAATAACTGACAATTTTTTAGATCTATTCATGTACCTACTTTTTAAACTCAGTATGATCTTTTGTCCAATCTCTGACATGATGTTCTTCAATAAGCATTACCCTATGGGAGAAATGAAATCCAAATCAACTGGAAAATCTATTTTAATTACTTGATGATTATTTCCATAACTGAAAATTAATAATCTTGGCTGCCAAAAACTTTTAGTGTAGAGAGTTTGCACCAAACTAATATGAAATTTGCGATATCTGCGCTGGATAGCCTGTACAGCTTGTGATTGCGGGTGACAGAGTAATCAAATATAAGAATAAAATTGTGAAAGGGGTGTAAGACTAAAATGAAGTCAAACCTTAGTTCAAAATGCTAATACCAACCCACCTAGATGTCTATGCTAAGAATGCAGTTCCGAAACCATCTCTTGAGAAGAATGGCACAGTTTCACATTTGAAAGAAAGAAAAAAAGAGGACTAAATAAAAGTACCTTTCTACCAATCATTCGACCACCAGCAGTATGAGCAAAATATACATTGTAGAAGTGGCAGATGAAAGCTTGAGGATCCTTTTCCGATAGCTCCTCCAGATACTTAGCATAAGAAGCACCTACAGAAGAGGGTTCAGGGATGGTATGTCCTTGGTCCTTGAACCACACTAAGTCTTTGGCTAATTTCTCCGACCTTTCCAAGCCAGTATTCCTGAACTCAGCATCTGCAAAAAAATAGTAAGTTCAATAGGACAAAGGTCCAACCACTCACTATTACATATATTGCAATTATTTAAAGATTAACATAACTTAAATCAATGCATTCATTTATTTCAAGAATTATAAGCAACCGCATCATTCCATTAAAAAAATTTAAGGGGGATTTACATATATATCCTTTCAAATTTTGGAAATAGCATATTTGAATATTGACATATATATCCTTCCAAAAATTTAAATTTTGCATATACATCCCTCCAAATATTAAATGTCCATTCAATAAACTAAGGTTGACTACTATCAATTATGTTTATCACTGAATTTGAGAAAAAATATTAAATTTATAATACCTAAAATAACTTTTACTTGGAGATATAGGTCAATTGGTCATTTAAACAGAAAAAAGGGTTCAGGAAATCCTTTTGTTCATATAAAAGTGATCCGTTCTTCTCTGCGGCAAGAGTACTAGTTGGAATTAAATAGGGTAGTAAAATGCTTTGCCACGAGCAGTTAGGCTGGGGGTCGACTCAATTGAGTCAAGGGTTGAGTAGGCCCAAACAGTTGATCTAGGGTCCCAATAGCAGCTCCATACTAGTCCAGTAGAAACAAAGGTTGTTGCTGACAGAATTGGCCTAGCTGAGATGATAAAGTATATTTGCCTAGTACAAACTACCTTATTAAGTTTCATGACCAATCTCCTTTGCTTAAATCTGAATTGGGTGAGAATACTGCATAACTTCGAGCTGATGGGAAAATATCCATACAATCGACCCCAACTAGTTGGAACATAACATATTACTGCTACTGGGGATTATTGAACAACTTCAATTAATACCCTGTAGCAAACCATAGATCAACTATGATTAGCAGGATTAGTCAATCGCTGCACTTCAATGCATTTCTGGGATCCATATCCGAATTGATATAAGTCAACAAAGTCCAATCAAAAATCTACCTTTATCTATGATTAACAAGAATCAACCATCTGGCCCATAACAAAATATTAGGTTGACTCCAACACCAACAAATTAAAGCCAATCTGAAAGTCTAATACCATGATCCAACTCAACCAATCTGAGATTGTGCCAATTCTCCTGAACTTCTGAACATTGATATTGATGACAACAGTTAAGATGACTAAATAAACTAATAATAATAATAATAAAGAACAATGGGATCATTCCAGAAAAAGAATTTCCCAAGTGATCCTTCTTTATATGCCAAGGAATTCTTACTCAAACCACAATTTTCCATAAGATGCAGGAGTCACTGATTTATTTAAATCCTTCAGAGACTAATAACTAATAACAGGATGTCCACGTTGTAAACGTTTAAAAAGAGTTAAAGTTCAGTAGGAACAAATTGAACAGTTAATGACACCAATTTAGCATATGCAAACAAGATGATGAACAATCCCTAGCGTGTTCAACTGTTGTCTTATATTTGCACTACCATGACCTATGGTTCAATCAAAGTTTCCTTATCATCACCTGACCTTCCATCCAAGGAGAACTTAGAGACCAAGCAACCGATAGGTCTCTTATCACTTGTCCCCTGGAAGCAATTTATCATATCTGAAAATTAATTTGAACAGAATAAAATAACTATTCGGTTGTCTCAGTATTTGAAGTATCTGTATGATTGACCAAGTAGATTCCATCACATTCCAAGAGTATCCAATTAAATGTAGACATCCAACACCTATAAACATTACTGACTCATTGCTAGGACTCTTAGGATGTTTTAGCAAATACAGTTTTGTATAATAGAGGTATTTTAGTTGTGGCTCTTCATGTATTTTATCACTGGAGAATACCACATCACCACGACAGAAGCCATGTCCATAATTACAGATACACCACTACATGGGTACTCTGTACTATAATGCACTGGAAAATACCACATCACCTCTTTGCCAACTCTGTACATTCGACAAATGAATGACACAAGTACACAGATGTCCACTATCCAAGTCAATGATCCTTTGTGGAGAGAGCATCATCCGAAGTTAGGGTACAAGGAGCTACAGTTTTCATTCATTTTTCTGACCAATTTAAACCACAAAGTGTAACATATTCTATGACGAATTTCGACCACACAGTGTTCGATTACTTTATTACCAAATTTAGGCCACATGATATGCATATGATTCATCCTAAAGTCAATTTCAATCGTATATTCCTCAAATAAATCGGTACACCAGAACCAATACGAAGAACTTGATAACCTTGTCAGTTCCTGCTAACTTGAGAGGCAATAATCACAACAGCAAAGAATTACCCACATAGATTAGGGGCCATTTCCTTTTCTCTCTGATTGCGTTAAATTCTCTGTATAAGAAGAAAAGGAGCAGCTCAATCGGAGGTGTATCGAGAAGTTAATCAGAGAAAGGAGTAGAACTTACAGGATGGATAGGCGGCCTTCTGGACGATGGTCTCAAGCGTATCGTAGACGAGCTTGCTGTCGACCAAGAACCGGAGGTACCCTTCGACGGAAGGCTCCCACTTGCTAACGGGCGGCGATTCGGAGGTTTTCTCCCCCTCCTTGGCTTGATCCCTGGTGTGCAGCTTCATCGCGACAGCCCTCATCTCGTCGACGAACCCACGGTCCCGGGTTCCCCCAGCCGCCTGACGCTTCTTCGGCGTCTCGGTCGTGGTGGCGGATACGACCATGGTCCGCAGGGGCATCCAGCCGCCGGCACCTCCGCGGGGGCGGCAAAGGAGGCGGTGGGGGTGCTTGCCGAGGAAGGCGGAGATGATAGCGCGAGGGTGGGCGGAGAAGGGTAGTGATTGAGAGATCGGAAGCGTCGACGATGCCATCCTAAGGCGGTTGAGGGAAGGTGAAGCGGAAGACGGGACCGAAGGGCTTGCGAGGCAGGGATGATGATTAGGACGAGACGCAGGAGACGAAGCGTGTCGGGAATGGCTTCCTTTTATTCTTGACAACCTCCTCCACTCGCCCTCCCACTCCTTTACCTGCTCTGTCTCTCGTGCCGGGTCCGCATGACGGGACCACCGATTAATCCAATGACGAGGCAGGTCGGTTGGGGTAACGTCCCCAACCAAGAAATAATCTCTCAGGAATGTGAGGATCACGCAATCAACGTACACCAACGGGACACGTCGTTCGCATCGCGACCTGAGGCACGAAAGGCAACAGACACGTCGTAGATCTCGAGCCACAGACGCCCTCCTCGCGTCTCGAGTCGCTCCTGTTGGAGCATCGCCACAGCACAAGCATTGTTAGGTCGAGCGATGCTTCACACCCCCAAAAGAATTCGAAGGGAAAAAGAAGGGCTAAAGAATCTAGTGATTATATCATCAATTTGATCTTAGAATTTTCCGGAGTCATTTCGTCTGCTTCATTAGCGAATTATTATTAGAAACGGTCTCGAATTATTATTTGATTGTTAAAGATTGACTTAATCCACCCTAATTAATATGATTAAAACGGTTTAATCCGGATAAGATGAAGTAAATTAAGCATCTAAGAAGTTTCCTTTCATCGTGAGAATTTGTATCTGTATACTCCATTAAAATTCAATTCTCTTCCCATTCTTGGATTGTTGTTGATCCCAACCAGTGTCAAGAAATAATGACGAATTTTGTTGTATATTTGATGACGGGCTCAATTATGAGTGTATATATTCATTTAACAATAATACAGTAACATTAAATCTTCCAAACAATTGCCAGAAACAATAATGTCAACAGGAGCTGCTATCAAATTTCATGATGTTACGACACATATGATTGATTGCACCTATGGAATTTTAGGATGTTAGACGTATTTTAGAAAATAATTCGATTAGGACAGCAGATTAATTAGGAGGTCATTCATGTTTTTTGTTGTTCCCCAATTATAAGCCACATTTATGGCATCCATCTGCGTTTGGATTCCTGGATATTGTTATCCACACCGACTTCTAATGATGTTTCTGGAGATGAGATGAGCTTCTATTTACAGTTCTTTTTGGCTAGAAAAGCATGCACTAAAATGACCAATTAGTCAGATTGCACATCCTGACTTAGCAAAGTGATGCCAATTTATGGCAGTCAATTCAGTATATCTCTCCACTGATTCAGTCTTAAGCGCTGTAGATCGATAGGTGCAGCTGTCACAGAGACCTTTAATTACAGTCACTGAGGGAAAGGTGAGTTGCAATCAAGACTACTTTGTTCCGCCCACATCACTTTCACGGTAATGACATAATTGCATGCATTAAGATGAGGAAACAAAGATACACAGTAAGCTAGAGGAGCACTATTCGCAAGGATGAAGCGTTCATGAAATGAGAGACTGCTTGATGAGCTTAATGGCGACGTATGCGGATGATAAAGCGGATGAACTGATCTGTTTATGGTTGTATTCATAGCTAGATCGGTAATGATACTGAGCGCAGCAGCAAACCAAACCATATGACACCTACCGGATTAGAGGAAGAAGCTGTGATCTTCACCTTCCATCCCTGCATGTGAAGAGGAGGAGGTCGGGCGGTTCCTACTGAGGAGCTCTTCTATCATCTGCAACGCCAGCCTCTCCTCGTCGTCCATCTCTCCGACCGCCTCCTGCGACGACGTGCCCTCCCCCGCGAGCGGCGACGGCGCCATCGTCGCCTCGCTGGTCTCCTGCCCGCCGCTGCCGACGCTCCCGAGCTCCACGGTCATGACCCAGCTGGAGTCGGCGCGGGTGCCGGCGCGCTTCTGCCACACGCCGATGTGGGACTTCTCTGTGTCGAGGCGGAGGCAGGTGAGCGAGGGGGACGGGGTGGTCTTGCAGCACTTACGGAGCTTGGCGCTGAGGACCTCCGCCAGGGCCTTGGAGGACGAGTGGGCGGCGGCAGCGTCCTCCCCCTCGGACGCCCGGTGCACCGGGAAGTTGGTCTTGGCGTTGCGGCCGCTCATGAGCACCGCGGCCTCGTCGTAGGCTCGCGCCGCCTCCTCCGCCGTCTCGAAGGTGCCCAGCCACACCCGTCGCTTGCTGTACACATCGCACGAAAGATTAAGAGGGAAAACAAACCCCAATTGCCTTCATTACCTTCAACACATGCATAGATCGAGAGGCAAGCAGTGACAAGGAATCAACAAGTACTGCTGCTGGCACAGACTGCACCGGACTACTCACAGGAGAGGATGTCTTATCTCAGCAACCCAGGAGCCCCAGTGGCGTTGCCTGACTCCTCTAAACTTCTTGGACTGTACCATTATGTTCCTATAACTAAAACTCTGGCAGCCGGACAGAGACTGCAGACGGAAAAGAGATGAAGGATGAGACCAGAGAAGTAAAGATTCGCCTGCGTTTCACTGACCACCAAGTACAAAATGTGCAGGCTTTCAACCAGAAAGAGAAAGAGAATAAGAGAGAGAGAGAGAGAGAGGAGCTACGATCAGGGATAAGCGAGGGGGAGAGCAGAACAATAGAACGGATGAGAGTGTGTAGGGAGGCACTGAGCAATGGCAGAGGAGTTGTCGGTGAAGGGAAGCCATATAGGCTGTCGTAACCACCCATAGTACAGTGGTAATAAACTCCTTCACCTACGCCCATGAATAACTCATTTATTTCTTCTACCTAGCAGCCTTTGGATGAGGCTAACTAATGTAATAGATCATGGAAAGATCCCAGTGTTGCTCTCTTGGTTGCCAATCCAATGTCTACACTCCATTGGATTCAGCACCAGCTTGTCACATCATAAATAGCAACACATGCCTTTCTTTTGGACTGAGTCATCGAAAGAGAAGATACAAATAAGAGAAGAAAAGAATGATTGTTTTGTTGGATAAATCAGTCAATATTAGCATTATTTTGATGAGACCTTTTAGCTTTTTCATTATGCTGCTTTTCTCACTGAATCGCTGCTACTTCACCATGTTTTGATTGCTAAGACAGTGACAAATACATTGTGGTCGAGTGTGCTAAGTGTAGTTCTCGTAATCGAGAATAAGAAGAAACAAGGCTGAAAGCAGCAGCATGAGATGATCGAGGCTTCGTTGGTGTGTGATGGGGATGAGAGTGATTAACATGTGACATGAATCAATCATGTGATTAAGAAGAATGATGTGGATTCGAATGTGGACTGCCGCACGATGACAACCGATCGATAATGGCTAAGATGTAAGCGTAAGTTTTCCGGAAACCAAATGGGTTCCTTTTGTTCTTCTCATGATGTGTCAGAATCATCTTTATCCTGAAGTTTCTTTCGCTGACGACCTTATTATGTTAAGAGGTTCTAATGATCTCTACCGTCATTGATCTTTTACCTACTCGATTTTGATGGATCGATCCAGGTAAATAGATCCATCATCCCTTCAGATTCAACTCATGGAGAGGTGGGAGGAGCTCCACTATTGGGCATCAAAGAAAACAACATGATCTTTCATAGGACCGCTCATCATGCACAGTAAATGTAAAGGTTGTCTCTCCGTCTTTGACGCATGGATTGAGGGCTTTCTTCTCCTGACCTACCTTTGCCTTCTCTTCATCATTGTGCCAGGACACAGGAGCTCTCATGGGGTAACTCCCTTTTCTCAGAAAGAACGACGACAGTGAGTACACTGCACACGCATCTTGTTCTGCGATCCCACGGAGTCATTAGATGAAACCTTAAGCCATTAATCCGGGAGGGGATGGACGCCGGACACAGCTGTTGCTGGGACCGCCACGGGACCGTGGAGGCCGAAGCAAACCTTTTACTGAGCTCCCACTTCCATGCACCCAATTCTACCCACCATTACTGCAACCAATCAATTCTCCCTTCTCGCTGCCGATGATCCAGGGCCTGTCACGTCAACGCAGACGATGGTAGCGCGTGCATGGGGCCATGGAAAGCCTGCTCGGACGCTCTCTTCGCCATGGTAAAGATGCATGCAAAAACCTTTTCTTTTGCCAGTTAAAGAAGATCGAGTACCGGAAACTGCGGGAAGCATGCAGTAAGGGCGGCACTGGTTCGCCATGGGGAGGGACCAGTGAGGAAGAAGCTACCACGCCATGAGAAGAGGGCACATGAGCACATTTACTCCTCTCCGGGCTGCACCAAAAAGCTAAGGGCAGTTCGTTAGCTTTCAATAAATCCTCCGAGCGACAACCACAACTTTAAAGTTTCATCTTGGCATGTCCCAACATATATCTACTGCTCCCAAATCGAACAGTTTCATTTCGTTGCTATGGAATACTATCCATCTCCAAGTAAATAGGACACGGTTTAATCCAAAACGTCTTAACACGTGGAGTCATTAATACCAAGTTCCCCTCACAACCTAACTTCTCATGCGACAGTGAATCGAGATATGAATATGATTTATTTGGGAAGGACAAAAGATTAAGAGAAGATTTATCCCCCTTTCTCCAAGTAAATAAAAGAAACTAAACCATTACTTGTAATGATAATGATAATAATAGTTCGTCGATCAATTTCTGCGAGCCGCTCAATTAGGCCGGTCTATTGGGCTCGACGGTCCACATGCTTCGTTGCCCGAAATTTAAAGCATTCGAAGGTTTCAACGGCCCATTCCAATCCGTTAACAAGGGGAGGAGTGCCATCTCCGTCGTAAGATGACCTCTTCGGCTGCCCTGTTCCTCCCACTCCGCCACCAGCAATTTGTTAGCCCTTCCTTCTCCTCCTCTTCCTCCTCCTACTACTTCTGCTACACTCATCCGGCTCAGGATTGGGGATCGGATGCGCCGATTGGAATGGGAGTCGATAGTAGAAGATCGACGATGTACCGACATTGAGGATTCTGCAAGCTGATGAGATCTCAGGATCGACGCAGCTGTTATCGAGGTAGGCATTCGATTGAATCATGCTTTCTCTGCTGGTTAATCTTGATTGCAAGCATATAGTGGGTAAAGTGTGATTTCCTTTTTGTCGGTGAATGATAGGTTTATTCTGTAGCTTGCTCTGCTTGCTTGTCTTGGATTTTGTGTTGTTTGTTCCTTGATCTGATGCCTTATCCATGACTGAAAATATTCTTTCAACCAGTATGAACATGAATTTGCTGCTCACGATGAATTGCATTGATGGCAACATAGAGTCGCGTCGTCTTCCCCACACCAAAAGGTGGGCTGCAGTACAGCTCGGGCTATCATGGGCCGGGCTGTCAATGCCCAGTGCGAATTGGGCCAGTCTCGGTCCCCATACTCCCCGAAACAACTACAAATAATATTCCGAGTGGGGTATTTTTAATTCATAGAGTAGAATTAGTTATATAAATTCAATTAATTATCAAAGAAAGTAGAATTAGAATTCTTATCAAGATTTCTTCAACCTTCTATATAGACAATTACCGGTTTTTGGATGTTGATTTGACGAGGGCGAAGAGGATGAGAGAGAATTTGGGATAAGTGAAGCTGTGTTGCTGTGTTGCTAACTCAAAATGTGATAAGTGAAAGAGAAAAATAGTGTGCATATTCTTGCTTTTATTAAAAAAAATTGGATGCAAATAATGAAGGCCATCATAAAAATAAATTTAAAAAACGAAATCTAAAGTATCAGTCAGGCTGATGCTTGCATTGCATTGGCATGACCTGACTCAGAAAAGTATGAAGTCATGTCTAATCTGATCAAGATAGTGGTTTGACTGCATCAAAAGGTTGGAAAACAAATTTGTATCAGTATCAATGAGGGCATGGAATTAATGGACCATTTATTTGTCCAATGAGTAAGTAAGAATATTCTTACACGAAGCTAAATAAAGAATCCCAAGGCTAAGTAGCTTCCATTTCTTTCTTTATTTTTCTTAGAAAAAGAACTTTATTCAATCATCCTTGGGATCAACAAAAGACAGAAACCCCTATTGCAAAAATGCAACCGAGTGACACTTCCCCAGTTGTGGGAAAAAATATTACAGCAAGCACTTGTAGCTTATAAATGAGCTTATAAATATAAGTAAGACCATGTAGCCACATTTACTGATTTGACTTCCATTTCCTTACTAAACAGTCCCTTTTACCTATAAATATTGTGGCCACTTCTCTTTTAGAAGATATCAACTGGGATTTGTTTTCATTACTTACTAGCTCCAAGCTTATGTAACACATGGATAAATAAGCCAGTAAATAACTACTATTTTTATTAATAATGTATTGTCTTTTATAGAAACATTATAAGCATCAGAATCATAAAGCTTACTTACATTAATAAGTTCTCATTCTAGTGCAATCCATTCTATTTAATGTCTTATTTTCTCAACATTATTCATTTCGTTTAGTGCTAAGCAATTTATTAAACACTAATCGAATACTTTCCTATATGTATACATTTAAATTCATTGGATTGGATCAAGATTAGTCATTGGCAGTCCAGTTTTCCATGCAAGATTTTTCGAAAAAAAATATTTTGTAATTTTGGTTGATCATATGAGAAGGTTGTTAGGTTAAATGCCCACCTATTTTCTATTGAACAACATGTTGGTTTTCCATTGCTCAATAGATTTTCTCTTCACAATCATCTTATTCTGGGGTTAAAAAGGGGAAACCAAAGCGTGATGTCATCCTCTTTCACAATGAAATGTTTATGTCAAAATGCATGTGAATACTTCCCAAAAAGAAGAGTTCTATCATTATTTTCGTGTATAATATACATCATCATGATTTTATTTTATTTTATTGTTATTTTTATGTTGCACTCCTCCCATGCTTCATTCAATGTGTTTCAACACGAGCGCATGCGCGTTGAACTGTGGACTTTTTGTTCATATACTATGACTTGCAAGCTGCAAAGTGGTAGTTGACAGCCATATGCATCTTTCCATGTGATAAAAGTTTAGATGCATGCATGTCACTAATTCATCCTCCCTTCCCATCACAACAGCTCTGGAAACAATTCCATGCATATCTTTCGTTGTACCAAATATATATATTTAGAGGGAGAGACACACACACACACACACAATTTAGTAAGCCTTATAGTGTGATGCAATTGGGACACCAACACCAAAACATATTGTAATATAATCCAAGTGGGATGGACAAGAAATGTTTTCACATTGTTTCGACTTCCAATGAGAACCTGGTCAAAGATCGTGGCAGGATTATCAATTTTATGATTGCCAACTTGGGACATTATTAATTCTTAAGTGTAGCTGGATTAGGATCTAATTAATGTGCCTTGTTGCAATAAATAAATGTATATGCTCTTCATGTGTGCTGATTTATCATGTGTGTTTGTGTGTGAGATTCATCATTAATCAAGTCCATCTTTTGAAACAATCTTTTTTTTAAAGTAATCTAATTTGCTCTTGATCTTCATCTCGTTTTTCTTCTTGAGTAGAATGTAATGTAGTTTCTTTACTAGGCTTCATTTTGGTTCAGATTTAATATAATCATATGGTTTTAGCACAAACATAATTAGCTTGTTTTTTGTTTGAATTGCCCCTATTATAGTTGTGGCTTGGTAGATAATGATAAATTATTTGTGTTGGACAACTAACAACCACCGATATTAATTTTAAATATTTAACTCCAATTATTGTGTTAAG